TGAAACCCTGTCTCTACTAAAACTACAAAAAATTAGCCGGGTGTGGTGGCGGGCACCTGCATTCCCAGCTACTGGAGAGGCTGAGGCAGGAGAATGGTGTGAACCTGGGAGGCGGAGCTTGCAGTGAGCTGAGATTGCGCCATTGCACTCCAGTCTGGGCGACAGAGCAAGACTCTGTCTCAAAAAACAAAAAACAAACAAAAAAAAATGTGCGGGATTGTTCATCCTCGGGAGGCACTATATGCCATTATGGGGATGACAGCATCCCATATGCCATGCAAAGAAAAAGCCATATCCCAGTAAAGAGAGGTGCTGGAATGTGATGTCAGAGCACACCTGTGTTGCAGGAGAGCTAAACAAGTCTACTGCAGTTAAAGAAATGTTTAAAATACCTTGCAGCAAGTTTTTCATTGAGAGCACGTACTCTGACCAAAGATCGTGACTACTTGGTGTGCGTGAAAGTCATATTTTTAGAATGCCATGAAAAATGGAGAAGTATATGAAAGGCATTCTAGCTTTAGGAAATAATGGTAGTAGGGATTTTAGATTAAAGACATAATAAGATCTGCCTAGGCAGAGTGAAGAGAGACAGTTTAGTAGTGAAAAATAAGGTTATCAGACAAGCAAATGGCAGGCTGGAAAATAAAAATGTATCATTTGAATGGCAGGGAACCATTGCCAGTTTTTCAAAAAGCAAGATATTGAAATACCCTCTTCATCATTTAACTTGATCGTTAAAGGAGTGATCCAAGTGATCCTAGAGTTCTAGTGACAATGGAAGGAAAAATTGTAGTAGTCCCACTTGAAGATTAGGGTCCAATTTATGAATTTATTTCGGGGATTGAGGTTCGAGTATAGATTAAATATAAAATGAAGAACCAGACAGCTCTACTTCAAAATTGGATGCAAGTAACAAAGGACAAAGAATAGTTGCAGACTCGATTCTGTTCTGTGGAAGGCAGACATAATGTTCTGTGATTGAGATCTTGGAATTTGGGGTGATTGTGGGGGTAGAGTGGAAATAAAGCCCTTTTTTCACCATGTTAGGTAGGAAGGGTGATGAAGTATCTAAATTGTGTAGTTAAACTAAGTCAAGCAGATTTGGAAAGGTGCTGTTCTCAACGGATAAAGACCTGACCATAGGAAGGAATCCATTGTTGAGTCCTGCAGGAGGCCTTCTACCTGGGGCTAGCCCAGAGCTCTGGAGGAGCCATAGGCAACCACCTCCTCCCGTCTCTCACTCTGAATCCAGGTGTTACCACTACGGAAAAGAATCCAATCCTAATGCTGAGGAGGAAGTGGTTCTTACAGATATGATAGGCCAAGATTTCCACCTCTCAGAAATCAACAGAGTTGCATTGTGGAGTTGAGGGGAGAAAGGTTGGCCACTTGAGCTGTGACCTGGGGGTAGGAAAGAGCTCCTGATTCAAATGTGAGCTAGCAGGAAAGAGACACCCCCTCCCTCCAAAAAGTGATACGACTTCTTTCTTAGCAGAATTCCAGAGCTCTGAGTGAGAGAGGGACATAGTGACTCTTTGCTGTAACTCCTGGATTTTGCTGGTCACCTGTGGGCTAGAAGGAGTTGGAGCTGGTGGCTTGGCAGGAGAAGGCAGGAAGGACATTGCTTGGGCATACTCAGCCCTGTGCTAGTTGAACCACTTCCCGCATACCCTAAAGGCCACATGCCTTGCTATGGTTGCAGAGCCCAAGTCTGCTCTAATCTCAGTGTTTTACCTGCATTTCTATAGTACTTCTCACTTCATGCTTCAGGAAGTGCTTGGCCAAGACACCCTATATCTGTTGGCATAATAGACAGCCACCTAGCATGTAGGCTACATGATAATTGTTTTGTTGGAGTTCTAGGATAGCAAGGAGATGGAGAGATGAGGAAGATACCCATATTACAGAGGAAGAGTTACAGCGAGGCCCCTACGCTCAAAGAACTTAAAATTCTCATGGGTGCGTCAGACACTGAACAGGCAAACTTTTAAAAGAAGAAAACATAAATGGACTACTCAGATGTTGTGAAAGGTGCTCTAAAGACAAAGTGCAGTGGTGAGTTGGCTGGGAGGCTGCCTGGTCGGGTAGATGGCACAGGTGTCTATGGTCATTAACGTTTAAGCTGAGACCCAAAGGGTGGGGAGCATCTGGCCAGGGGAGAGCCAGTGGGAAAGCATCCAAGGAAGAAGAGCAGTCAGTGGTCAGTGGGAAGGTGGACGCAGTGACAACTGAAAAGATTTGAGACTTGAGAAGACCAGTTTGATGACTGCAGTGGCCCATGCAGGATGTGCTGGGTCACGAACCAGGGCAGCATTGACACATGACGCAAAGAAAAGACATCTCTGACTCAGCGAAAGTCAGGAAAGTGAAACTCACAGCAAGTATGAGTGGAAATTCTTCTGTTCTCTAGTTGGAAGTGTTGACTGGGGGAGCTTGTTGAGAGTCTTGCTTGGGGCTTATAACCTGTTTTCTCTGAGAAGGCTAAAACAAGCTGTTGTCCTGAAGAGACAGGTAGCTGGAAGTGGTAGGGAGCTAGAAAGGTGGAGAGAGAATGTGGGATAATTGCTGTGTGGAATGGAAAAAGGCCTAAGAAGCATGCCCAGCAGACAAAGCATAGAATCTGCATGCCCGTCCACATAGTGTTGTGATTTTTCCTCCAGCGAGGCCACCACCCAACCTTTGGGTAGAGGAAGCAGGTGGAGAGGCTGTTGGAGCTTTTCTGGGTGGTTGAGACAAGACAGGCAAGGAGGCTAGAGAACTGGTGGTGTGGGCAAGTGATGCTGATGATCAAAGCACAGGAAGCCAACAGACAGAGATTTAGACCCAAGAAGGGAGCTTGAGGTACAAGAAAACCTCAGGGTAGACAGGAAGGAGGCGTGGTGAAAGTGATGAGAGGGAAGAGTAGAAGGGTGGTCCAGGGTCAGACAGGGAGTTAGATTTAATCCTTCAGGGCACTTTCATTACATCATAGCTGCCATTTTGTCTTTTATCTGACTCAGTAATAAGTAATGTTTTCATTAAAGGGAAGTGCTTGGCAGGTAGGTTAAACTTCGTTGAGTTCTGATCCTGTCATAATTATTGTGTATACCTTTCTCAGCTTTTTGTCTACTTGAGACATATTTCTTCTTTTGTCCTTTGAGCAGCCAAAATGGAAATGTTGGATGTGTTGGCTCTGTTGGTAGGCTCCTGTTGGATGCCTGTTGTCACTCATAAATGTAACACCACAGCCATAATTGATGGAGAGTTGAGTTGCAAGCTTTTAGGACTAATTGCAAAGTCTAAACTAAACCATTTCCTGGCGCTGCCTTTAAATAATAATAATAATACCTTGTATAGATATAGTGCTTTACAATTTACAAAGCACTTCCACATCCATCATCTCATTTAATCTTCACAATAAACAATGCTTTTTGAATGCTTAGATCTTTCCTAAGTGAGAAATCATGTTGCACATCCTGCTTTAATCATAGTGAGTCGCCAAAAGTTCTTGATACAATAACCATTTATGGAGTACCTTCTATGTACAAAGCACTTTACTAAGGATACCAAGGGGTAAATTTTCAGTAAATACATATCCAGTAAGTAGTACCTATCAGTAAATATGATCTTGCCTCCTAACTTACCTTTCCTTCCTAGTCACAATCACTATTTTGGAGGCTACTTGCTATGCCATAAATTTATATAAATATTGCCAGGAATTCATTGTATCAGAGTTGAAGTTTTAAAACTAAGGATTCTGATACTTGTCTAAGCTTATGATTCGTCAGAAAGCCATCTTGTCTATTTCAACTTGCACTTTTCTTGAAGATTATTACTTGAGTCTCAAAAAAAATATTTCAAGGCCTCAGCATATCTGAAAATGCCAGTCATTGAGTTCAGTGTCCTCATTGGAGTGATTTGGGTACAACTTGGCAAAAAAAAAAAAAAAGAGTACAATTTGGCAAAAAAAAAAAGAAGGTATAACTTGGTACTTGGTTCCAGAAGGCTTATTATTCATTAAAATAGAAGACATGCCCATCTCTGGGCTCTACTGGCCAGACTGGGATGCTTTGAGGAGACAGAGGACTTCCTGGGAGGCTGCCCTCTGGGTGAGGGGGAATGGAAGGTCATATTGGAGCTGGGCCCAATCCCAGGGCAAGAATCCTGAACCTGTGTCCTGGAGTCCCCCAAAGGTCCAGGCGTGTCTTCTGGGCCACCATGGCTCTTCAGAGGATACACAGACTTTGATGTCTTATTCAAGATCCTCCAAATGTAGAACCCCCAAAATAATAGGAACCCTGCCATCAAAGTCCCCTGGTCAGAGTAGCTCCGTGAAAGTGAGCGGTGTGACCTGCAAACCATGATTCCTTCTCCCGTCCGGGGCTGGAGGAGGCCCCAAGGTCTGATGTTGAATTTCAGCTGAGAAACCTCTTTTGTTGATGAAACGCAGGTGGTCGTCAGGGGTGCTGATGATGAGTCGGGTCCCCTTGGCGCAGCCGTTACCTCCCCAGCCATCTTCCTGCTCCTTGTTTGACACCTTCATATTATTAATTCGCATGTTAACACTAGCTCTCACTCACCTATTTACATGAGCATGTGGTTTGGGAATTGGGGGAGGACAAAGCCAGATCCTAAATTTTTTCTTTTTAACTAGTGTATACATTCTTGGACATGGATTTTTAGGAATATTTTCCCATGATAACATCTTTTTAAATAACAGGTTCTGTGTTTTACGAGGGAGGCTAATGTCTGTATTGCCGAACCTCTCTCTTGATTCTTTTGATGCGGAGCTTAGAACTCGTCCTTCTTGGTGTCGGGCAGATGTGCCCAATGCTTTGTTTTGACAGAGGATGTGCGCTCAGCATCTGAGCATCCCATAAATACTCCAGAGAGGAACATAATTAGGATACAGTGTGGTGCTGGGAGATTGAGCGTTGGTTGAGTCTAAGTGATGTTTCCGACTGGGGCTGGAAACGTGCTTTATGTAATTGTATTCTGATCATTGAGGTCTCTCTTTATAGGGCATCTTTTATGACCAAGACTGTCCAGTACCAAAATGAGCTACATAAATTCCTAATCTGGGATACAGCTGGACAAGAACGAGTAAGTCACTCTTTAATTTACTCTGTTTCTCTGAGGCCCAAATGAAAGTTCCAACTAAACTGTCAGCATCCCTGTCATCTCACGTTACTCACTTCTCTTCTGTGCACCGGAAACACATTTATTTCCATTTGCGTAGGCCAGCCTTTGCCTTTGCCTTTTCAATTAGAGCCACAGAGTCCCCCGATGGAGAAGGTGATAATGGGCACTGAAGGCATTTTTATGCCTTATAGTGTCTTAAAGTAAATGCTGACCAACAGGCCTGATAAAATCCCACTCAGAGCACTGTGTATAATTTGGGGCTCCCTCCTCTAGTAAGGATATATAAAGCAATTAGTGATAGAAAGGGTGAGTTAAGCACAACTCATTTATCGCTGCCTTTTAAAAGCTAAAGAGGGAACTTTACAGCATATAAAGTGTGAGATTTAAGTGAAAAGGATAAGCTAACACAGTGCCTTGCAGTAGATACTTAATAAATGCCTGATGACAAAATTGGCCACAGTGGTTATCTACTTAAGGAAAAGCCGGAACCAGAAGTGGGGCCTGGACATAGCAGCACGGGGTCTAATGGAATTTGGGGAAGCCCACCCAAATCAGAAATGGCCGGGAAGGCAGGGCTGGGGCAGACACTTCCGCCTCCTCCCCTTTCCTCTGGGTACTAAGACACATCTGCCGCCTCCCCTTTCCTCTAGGTACTAAGACACATCTGCCGCCTCCTCCCCTTTCCTCTAGGTACTAAGACACATCTGCCGCCTCCTCCCCTTTCCTCTGGGTACTAAGACACATCTGCCGCCTCCTCCCCTTTCCTCTGGGTACTAAGACACATCTGCTGCCTCCCCTTTCCTCTGGATACTAAGACACATCTGCTGCCTCCCCTTTCCTCTGGGTACTAAGACACATCTGCCGCTTCCTCCCCTTTCCTCTGGGTACTAAGACACATCTGCTGCCTCCCCTTTCCTCTGGATTCTAAGACACATCGCCTCCTCCCCTTTCCTCTGGGTACTAAGACACATCTGCTGCCTCCTCCCCTTTCCTCTGGATACTAAGACACATCTGCCGCCTCCTCCCCTTTCCTCTAGGTACTAAGACACATCTGCCGCCTCCTCCCCTTTCCTCTGGGTACAGACACTTCCGCCTCCTCCCCTTTCCTCTGGATTCTAAGACACATCCGCTGCCTCTCCTTTCCTCTGGGTACAGACACTTCCGCCTCCTCCCCTTTCCTCTGGGTACTAAGACACATCTGCCGCCTCCTCCCCTTTCCTCTAGGTACTAAGACACATCTGCTGCCTCCCCTGGTACTAAGACACATCTGCCGCCTCCTCCCCTTTCCTCTGGGTACTAAGTCCAATTTCCCTTCCAAGGTGTCTCTGGCAGCCACCCCATTATTCAGCAGCCGTTTAATTTAGTTTTCAAACAATACGATCCAAACAGCACATCTGATAGATGCACGGTGCTATCTTAAGCTCTTAAAAGTGTACCAGAAGTAATCAGGAAAAATAGTCTGTCATCACAGCCTTATCTAAGACGCCATAGATAGTGTGTGTAGTATGAAATCTGACAAGAATCATCACAGACAAATGGAGGAAAACAAAACAAGCCATTACTGTTGTCCTAGACATAGACTCCATGCATTTGTGCACACTTAACGTCTTAAGTTTGCTCTGTTTGGTTTCTTCTGTTTTTAACACTGGATGTTGTTCCTCTGTCCCATTACTCATCTGAGATACTTCTGCTTCCCGTCTTCCACTCCCCATTCCTTCTCCTTTGCTCCATCTAGAATGGAGCATTTAGAACAGCCGGACCTTTGCTAACCATCCCTCTTCTGTCCTTCAGAAGTGTGTTGCTTACCAGAATCCTCCTGAATATATCTGTAGACACAGCCCTGGGTTCTTTCCCTCTTAGCCACAAATCCATGTGGCCCTTCCTACTAGTAATATATGTACCCTCCACTAAATCCCAAGTTTCAATTACCCCTCACATATATTTGATGATACAGCAAAGCCCTCATCATAAAGAATCATGCTGTAATACAGATTCCATTATGCTTTGAATCAGAGCCTGTCCTGGTATACGCAGTGATGTATAACATCTCTTTTTTTCTGAAACACACAAAAAAATAACACAAGGGTGTTTGCCTCTTTCCCTTTCTGCCAGCATGGTAGCAGAAATCTGTGAAGTTTTATATTTAGCTGGTTTTCCTGCCTCTTGCTTGTCCACTTCTAATTGGTTCTGCAACAGGAGTAGTTGCTCTGAGATGCAAACCTGCCTCCAGCCTGCCTGACGCACTATCACGCAGCCCAGAGCTGCACAGGAGATGCTCATGGGGCCAGGCCACAGGCCAGGGGTGCTGACCAGGAGGCCCTGCATGGAGAACGCAGGAGAGGAGCACCACCTGATGAGCACTCACTCCAGCCAGTTGTTGCTGGGCATGAGCACATGTCCAGGGTGGCCAAAGTGCAGTGCTAAGGAAAGCCACACACCTGACAGCTACCCACAAATTGTTTGAAATGCTGGGAGGATCACACAAGACACATCTTGTAAGCCTGCCTGGGTCAGGGACTGTCTGTTTATCCTGGCAGTGCAGTGAAGGTCCAGAATGTGCCATCCACAGCCAAGATCTATTTTCACCTCCTCCCACCAATCTGTCCTCTAGCACAAACTGCGTGCAGTTCTCCAGCATGCCATAGTTTCACGCCCTCATGCCCTTCCACAACTCTATTCAGCCTTCAGAACCCACCTCTGATGTCACCTAAAGGGGGCTTTCCTGCCATCCCTGCTCTCAGACAAGAAACCACATCGCCACACTGCTGTGTTGCTCAGACCCACATCTGGAGGTGTCCCTGGGTTCCTCCCTCGCCCTCAGCGCTGGACACCTGCTCCATCCGGATGTTCTGACAGCTTCATTCTCTAAATGTATCACACTTGGATTCACTTCTCCGTCTCCGCTCCCAGCGCCCTGCTCTCAGCCACCTTGGCCATTCACTGAGTACTTTAGCCTTTTCATGGGTCCCCTGCTTTCCCTCTGTCCATTACATGTCCTCATAGGACCCAGAGGAATGTTCTGGAAACAAAAATCAGCCCGTGTTATCAGCCTGCTTAATATCCTTCAGCGACTTCCCGCTGCACATCTCATAACAACCACACTCTGAACAGAGACCTCTCAAGCCCCACGTGACTTGCCCAGACCTCCCTCTGGGCTCCTCTCTTCTCAGGGCCTCCAGCACTCCTTGGCCTCATGCCTCTGGATACACTCTTTCTTCTCACCAAAACTCTCTGTTCCCTCCACTGGAGCCCAGCTGGCTCCTTTCCCGTCTTTTAGTCTCAGGTTAAATGTGACACACTCAGAGTTTTCTCTAAACCCCCTGCATCTAAGCAGGGCCCCAACTTTGTTCTTCATTACTGCCCTTACTTGTTTTCCTCAGAACATGCATTAGAAATTGTCCTTAGATACCTGTCTACCTACCTTCATTGACAGAATCTCCCATCAGACTGTAACTCCAAGAGCTGGGACCACAGTGTCTTGTTCACTGCTGTACCCCAGGGCCAGCATGGTGCCTGACCTAGAGCTGATGTTCAGATATTGGTTGGTTGTTTGAATCAGCACATAAACTCTTTGGAGTATTCCTTTGTATCCTGAAGTCTTTGATTGCACTCATCCATGGGATTGTCACCTATTTCCTTACCTGTCTGCCTTTCATTAGACTGTAAGCTCCTTGAGGGCAAGGACTGCCTTCATGTCTCTGCTCTCAGCCCCTGGCACATGGTATTGATGCCCGTAGGTTTATGTCTACTGATTGCCAGCCCTACTTAGACACAGATAAGGACAGCTCCTCTACCTACTTTTACCATGTGAGTAGTGCATGACTCAAATTATAAATTTCTGGCGTTGTATGTTTATTATTCTTTGTAGTTAGGAGATTTATTGTAGAACCAGAATTGTCATAAAATGAAAACCCTTTTGATGAACTGACTATTCAAACACCCTCCCCAACCTCCCCATTTGACATCTCGTACTGCACATAGTTTTGGCAGATGGGTTGTCTTTCTGATGGTCCAGCTACATTTGATTGCGAAGTGATTTCATTAAGTCAATGAAAGTGATTTTGGAGAATTTCTCAAATGTCCTGTGAAGCCCTTGACGGTAGGCATCCTGTTAACTGAAATGAAGAAGAAGAATACTGCTCAGGATGACGATATGAGTGCTTCAGAAGATAATGGTTTGTGTATCAAAGGGTTAAGAGGGGCCTAGGGAAAATTGATGAAGCCCTCAAATATTTTTGTAAAAATTTGTCATTTTTATGATAAGACTATGAAAGTCAAACATGAAATGAAGGATATCGTATTGTGCTAGCATGTAGTTTTATCAGAAAACTCCTAGCCAAGTTATCAATCAAGTTCGACTCGGTGTTCATCCAGAAAATTAACTCCTGGCTGCAACAATAAACCTAAGGTTTTTCAAATACCAGATAAAATTAAACTTGATTTTACGATTTTGAATTTATCTTCTCAAGATAGAGCCTTTGTGAGACCATTTTGTCCCTATTATTTGCTATCTTGAATGAATGCATTTGAAGTCACCCTTTCTCCACCAATGATCCTTCAGTAACAAAGACTCCTGCAGTAGTATTGAGACAGACACAACACATACATTCAGAAGCATCATAAAGACACCATACATGTAGTAAGAACATACCAAATGCTTGCCGTCTGTATGTGATTGTATAAAAGAAAGTTTCTTGGCCAGGCATAGTGGCTCACCCCTATAATCCCAGCATGTTGGGAGGCCAAGGCAGGTGGATCACTTGAGGTCAGGAGTTCAAGACCAGCCTGGCCAACATGGTGAAACCCCATCTCTACTAAAAATATAAAAATTAGCCAGGCATGGTGGCGCACACCTGTGGTCCCAGCTACTGGGAAGGCTGAGGCAGGAGAATCACTTGATCCCGGGAGGCAGAGGTTACAGTGAGCCGAGATCGCACCACTGCACTCCAGCCTGGGCCACA